TTGCCAATAAATAAAAAAAGGACTTACTTCTGCTTCATCTACAGTAAATGACTCAAAGATCTGAATTCTAGCATCATCCAATATTTCAACTGTCAAGAACAAAAACATAAGTTTATAAGGCCAGTGGGTATACAAAAAGAAAAAAACAAAGATTTGTAAAATTTGCTGATTTCCAGGGTATATGCGTATATTCTCCCATTTCAAGCTACCAAATATTGCAAACTTCCTGAGTATTTAAGGCTCACACACGCTGCCTATAGCTCACATTTGTCAAGGGAGTTAAAATACGCTCTCTTTTTCTAGTCAATAAACACCATATCAAAGTCCTAACAATCACAGTTTTAAATACATAAAGTATTTTAAACAGCAAACCACAATTTGGTAGTCATCAAAAGTCCCATTATGTATTCCCATCAAAAACAAAAAATGCCAGGACAGCTATTTACTACTCAGATCCTAAGAGACACCCATCCCCACTCCTAAATTCACAACATATACACTAGACAACAAAGAGGTTTGTTTTTAGAAGGCCATCTTTATTTATCATTTGGGGGCTGATTAAAACTACAAAAGACACTTAGCCCAAAATCCATGCTAGTTTAAAATGTCACCCATTCTCTAACCCTACTGGCTATGGTGCCCTGCCTGACCCTCAGACCAAAACGGACATTGCCACTACAGGGCTCAAGCAAGGTAAGTCTTTCCTACCTAGCTCGTTAATTAGATTATTATACCTGATATATATGGCAACCTAAGTGATAGCACACAGTAAGTTTGTCAAACTGGTAAAATTTGTCAGCAGCTCTGCCCTGTGTCGACCTGGGGTATCTCTTCTTCCTCTGTATTAATGTTCCCTCAGCTCCAAACATTCAGGGTTCTCTGTGTATACTGGGTCCAAGCCAGACCAGCATGCAAAGTAAAAAGTACTTTCGAGACTTAAAAAGTACTTTAGAAGACTTCTCTAAAACCTAAAATCTTCCTCTTATACTTCACTCACCACTTCTAATATTAATGAATATAAAAAATGAAGGCAAGAAATGTCCACAATTTTTACTACTGACTGAGTAATCACAACAGAAACGGTTACTGAGCTACCATGTAATAGTCAAACACTAGTATCAAGAAGCTAATTATATGCCAACAGTTTATATAAAAGTGATTCCACATAACGTGGTTTTGACCAGGTTACCTTTGCGAGAGAGTCGGTAAGCATGTATCTCCAGAATAATTTCAGTCCCAACATGCCATGCTAGGAACCCAGTCATTGCGTAAGTTTTCCATGAGCTAGGAAGATTCAATCCTGGTAAATCCATTCCCAGGAACATTGCTGCTACTATGTTTATAAGACAAAATATATATATTCAAATGTAGTCACCACCAAGGAAGGTAGTTGTGGGTGTGTGTACGCGTGTGTATTATATCAAGTAAAATACATTAAAAGAGTTTGAGATGAATTAGATTAATATTTAAGACCAAATAGTTAATTTAGTCTTTTTCCTAGTGTTACTATTAGACTGGAAGGGGTAAGATGGGAAATTATAATTATGATCTACTGATTGTTAAAAAAGAGACATCCAAATTTTCCAAAAAGTTGTAAGTCTGCAATGTAGGAAGGCAGAAAAGTATGGAAACCACTGATGACTGTGCTCTTTTTCACAAAGAACCCCACAGACTGTAGAAATGTGAGGGGAGGAGGAACCAGCTTAGGTTTTTATTATGTAAGGCATCAAAATATATTGGAATGTCATACTTCACTTTTACTAACCACCCTTCCCTAGGTGGCACCAACCCTGGGGAAAGGAACTGGAGATAGAGGGATGGGGCCCCTCCCCTCACCTCACCTTGGTCCAACTCATAAACGACCCTCAACTTGAACTACTTAAATATTTAGCTCCCAGCATAGTTTGTTCTGC